GGAGTAATTTTGTTATGACAATGTTGGAGAAAATTCAACAAAGTCCAAGGAAATTGTTTTGAAAAAATTAAATGAAAAGAAGATTCTTCCATAACATAGATGCAATCCAATAATGTCTAATCTCGTTTTCTTCTAGATTTGGCTCTTGAAAACATACATGGATACCTCGTTTCTCCCTCGTCTCCCAAAGAGAGAGAAAGAAGTGGATTTTGTAATGTAAATAATGAGCATTAATTTATTTTTGTTGATGATAAATGTTTTTGAAGCTTTTCGTGTTTAAAGACAAACCACAAAGCTATTTTGATCTAAGGACACAAATTTTGTGGTTAGACAAATCTAACATCTATACAAGTTTACAATCAAAAGAAATTATGGTGCGAATGGGGCACCCGTTACACTTATTATTATTTTTAAAAATCTTTATAATCGCATTATAAAACACTATTTGTGATCGGAGAAGTTTTATATACTGAAAATTTGTTCCAACAATTAAAAAGGGAATGAAACTCAAAGTATTCCACAAAATTTGAGATAAGGGCGTTTTTTAAGTCATATTAGGAATATCATGGATGTAAACACTTTTACTCTTATTTAGAGGTGGTCATATCGATTTCAGATCGTTTTTTAAAGGTTTTCTGTTTTGTTCTATTCTGTTCGATTTGAAACGAATTGGAAGAATAAATACCAAATAAAAATCATACTAGATTTTGGTTTGGTTCGCTTTGATTTAGTTTAGTTTAGTTTGGATGTTTTACTTTTTTATAATGTCACTGAATTTTTTAGTTTGGTTCGATTTTAATTGAGTTTTCTCGGTTTCACTTTGATTCGATTTGTTACGGTTCAAAAGAAATACTATCAAAGCCAAACCGAATTGCATAAGATTTGATTTAGTACAATCAAATCCGGTAAAACGGAATCAATATATCCATCCCTGGTGAAGGGTGTATTTATGTGAAGGGCGTAATTGACTGTCACATTGATCTTGCTTTGGATTATTTTGCACTTGGTACCTTTGTAAATTCATGTCAACTAATAAGATATGATGCGTGTTTTAGGCCTAATTTCATAGCACTAATCCATTTTGCCTTTACTTTATTGATCTCAAATGATTTCTCATAAAACATTTTTTAAAATCAGTATGTTTGATCACTTCTGTCAAACCACTCTTACAAATACGCACTTACTTGTTGATAATAATACTCAGCCTCTTTAAAAAATAATTGAGCGTAACTTACCCCATCCCAAAAGAGCTTTGCAGAGAGGGGAAACGATTGTTGCCCAAATTAGCGAAGTAAGAGAGTTTGATACAAAGGTAATAATTAGTAGAGATGGCAATTCCGGCCCACCCATTGGATACCCGCACCGAACCGGTTTGGTTAAAATGGGGAAAACCGGTTTGATTGGGGAATGGGTACGGGGCGGGGAATACCCGATTTTTTATGGATAATGGTGCGGTTATGGTTCTATACTAATCTGCCTCGTTATCCGTCCCGAAACCGCCCCTTCACTAATGGTGTGAGTCAGGGGCGGAGCTAGGATACTAGATCGGACTGGGCCGGTACAAAGAATATTTTTAGAAAAGAATTTACACGAAATTCTTTACATTAAAAATTTAGCCATTTTTCAAATTTGTGGTGGGCCATGGCCTAGGTTGGCCCATCCCTAGCTCCGCCCATGGTGTGAGTACACGCACTGTTACCCGATCCGTAACATTATTAATAAATTATAACTCTTTATATATAAGAATAATAAGTATATATACTAAATTGTGTATACTAAATCGTATGTATCATATAAGGAGTCACATTCTGGTGCGTCCGGCCGCACAAGAAGCGTCGTCCGGCTGATGGCTTTTGGCCGCCTTCCCGGTGGAATTTTTTGATGAAATTTTTATGGCTGTTCTTCATCAAGTCTAGTTTATCCACAAAAAATCAGCTAAAACTCAATCCGGAAGGTTGTCAAATGATTTTTTGAAGTTAATCGTGCAATATTATACATAGAAAAACGCAGTTAACTTCCAAAAATCATTTGACGACCTTCCGGATTGAGTTTTTAGCTGAATTGTTTTGTGGATAAACTAGTCTTGATGAAGAACATGACATAAACATTTCATCAAAAAATTCCACAGGGAAGGCGACCAAAAGTCGTCGGCCAAAAACACTTACACGCACCGTTACCCGATCCGTAACATTATTAATAAATTAAACTCAACTTCTCCCTTTGTTCTACGATTTCTTCCGCCCGAAGCCCCCACCTCTTGTATTTCTCCCATCGGCACCATCGCTCTGCAGATCGAAGCTTCCCATCGGTGAAATCAATAGCAGCTCTCCCAATTGAAGCCACTGCAGGTTCCTTCAACGATTACAGGTATCCTCCTCTCCTCCTCCTCCTCCCATTATTCCTCCTCTTCTTCTTCTAATTCTCTTCAAATTTCTGGTCCTCTGTTCTCTTCTTATTTGAATTTTTTGGATTTGAATTTTATATATTCGTTTGGATTTTTTGGATTTGAATTATATTTATTCAACAAAATGCCACTTTTATAATCTGAAAATGTCAAAATTATTGGTTATTTGAACAACTGTCACGTTTGTGGCAGTATATTTATCAGGATGACAATCTGAAAATGTCATATGTCCATAAGAAAATGTTGTTCTTATGACATTTTATGACATTTTTATTGCTTATCTGATAATAACATAACTATTGAGAATGTCATGTTTTTATATGAAACTTCCATCATCATGGCATTTTTGGATATAATATTGCTAAATATGACAACATTTGGCAATCCAGTCAAAAAACATGTCATTAAAATATTGAGTAATAAAAACTCAAATCCAAATATTTTTTATCACGATCATTCGTTGAATTGTCATTTTTATCTCAAGTTTTCATATCCAAAATAGTATTTGATTTATAATCTGAATAAGTAAATGAATTAACAAAAAACAAAAATTGAAAAATGAAGAAACAAAGATCTGGTAGAAGAAGATGAGAAGAAGAGGAAGAAGATCGAAGAAGAAAGAGGGAGAAAGAAGGAGAAGGAAGAAGAAGGGGAAGAGGAAGAAGAGATTAACTGGTGCGCTGCTATGGACCGGATGTATGCGCCGATGCCCGATGCTAGTCTGCCGCTTATGTACTGAGATCGATAATTATTAAGAATATTTTTGTCCAATTAGGTAATTTGTAGTTCTAGTTTTGCATTTTAAACATAGGAGTCCTACTTTTGCATTTATTCCCTTTTTTAGTCCTATTAGGGGAATTCTCTCCTAGTAATATTAAAGTTTGAATTAGTGGAATCACAAACAAAAATAGGGCATACTTTATTAGCAAAAACTAAAATATGAAAATAAGATTTTTCTTCAATAAATTCGATTAGAAAAATAAATTCAATCTTACTAATTATTTACCGTATGATATGAAATTTAGTACTTGGTAAAAAGTTCGCTCATGACCTGGAAAATGATTTCCACGCGGCTCTAGGGTTGTTCATCAATTATTAGAAGTTTAATTATGCATATTTAGTAGATATTGTTGGGTAGTTATGGACCCAATCCCACGACTGATTTGGGACCATACTGGCCAGTAGGGATGGATTCGGTTCGGGCCACCCGGCCCGTGACCCGGCCCGGCCCGGTACTGTGCGGGTCCGGGACCGGCCCGGTCGGACGGTCTGGGACCGGGTATGGGCCCGAACCGGTGGGAAGGTGCGGGACGGGCTCGGTTCAGCATTATTGTGACCCGGCCCAGCCGGGTCGGGCCCGGGTCCGGTTCAATTTTTTTTAAAAAAAATTGGTTTGGGCTCCTACTAGCCGTTGGGGGTGGGGCTGGGGACAACCCAAACGGCTATATAGCCGTTGGGTGGGGTATAGGGGGGGTTCGGGGGGGTTGGGTGGTGGGGGGGTGGTGGGGGGGGGGGGGGGTAAAAAAACCTATAAGTACTCCTAATCTTAAACATTTTTTCATATCTCTTCTCCAATTCTTCCTAAATCCTATTCTTATCTCTCTACTCTCTAATTCTCTTATTCTCCAATATATTATATATCTACTCTCATATTCTCTTCTCCAAGAAGTTAAGATGGAAAATCAAAATGCCATTATACGGTATAATTTTGATAAGCAGAAGGACCCGAAGACCGGGATGTGGTACGCAATTTGCAAATGGTGCGAAAAAAAATGTATCATGGGGGCTTCAGACGGATTCGGGATGGCAATCAAGCATATGAAGTCATGTGACAAAGCCAAAGGATCGGGAGGTGCAGGAAGTTCCGATTGATTACAATTTTCAAAATGTTTATCTCTTAAAGTTTGTTTTAATTTTCAAATGTAGTTCCTATTTCATTTCAAATAAATGCAATTGAAGTTTGTTTTTAATACTCGTATAAAACTATAAACTATAAAATATAAATTATAAAAAAAAAATTAACCGGCCCGGCCCGAACCGGACCCGACCCGTGACCCGGGCGGGTGGCCCGGCCCGAACCGGACCCGTCCAACCCGCGGGCCGGTCCCGGGCCCACTTTTCTTGAACCGGCGGCCCGACCGGGCCTAGGCCCGGCCCGAATCCATCCCTACTGGCCAGTTCTTGTGACCAGAATCGCTAGAGGTGGTTCGGTAAGGAGACCGACCCAGGGGCGGTACACGAGGATCAGTCCTGGGCTGCCGTATTTGGGACCGTGACCAGGCACCAGCTGCCAACCAGTTAGATGTTTTTTTTCAAGCGGTGGAAACATTTTAAAAGAGGTGTAAATTGATTTAAGAGCTGATAACGCCATAAAGGGTTAATAGGACGGTGGGAAATAAAAAAAACCTGGACAGGACAAGCACCTGGACAGGAATAGGCCCAGAACCGGAAGTAAAGGTCCCGGTCCTTGTTCTCCTACTACCCTCTCCAGGACTGGCTAGTTCGGGATAGGAACCGGTCCAGGTCCACCCCTATTGTTGAGCCACTCCAAATTCTGAATAAATATTACATGCCATCAAAACGAGATTCCTCGATATGTATAAAAGGAAAACAAACGCCAACTACAAAAAAGGGTGAAAAAGAATACATTTTCCTACAAGTACAATAAATATAAAAGATGTTTCACACATTATATAAACAAACAAATTAATAAAATTTACGCTGCCACGCTAGCCTGCAGGCTGCAACATGAAAAGATTAGAGTCTTTGACGCATATCACTCAACTAAATATCTGTTTGTCTTATCCTTGTAGATATAGGATATGTATTATTCAATGAATATATTTACATTCATTACTTTACATTGCAATAAAAAGTATGTGGACAGTGCAAATCTCAGCTTAACCGAAGAAAGAATCAAGTGAACTTACTATTTCTGGGATTCTGGAACATAAGGTGTCTGTTTTGTGAACATGTCTAACCAAACCTCAAAACGTTTCAGTCTTTACATTCTGACATATTCTGTGCTTTGATATGGATTCATGCTCTCTTTAGTGGCTGAAGCTTACGCTTTTCCAGCTTACCAGAAGCAGTTTTAGTGGCAGCTGTGCCTTTTTGAGGTCCTGAAGTGCGAATACCACTAGCAGAAGTCCTTTCTGCAATTCTTTTCTGTCTTTCGATCACCAACTCCTTCATCTTTTTTCGCGCTTCCTCCTCCTGTTTGAAGGCATTGTGTTAAAATGAAAACATCCAAAGGAACATTAATACAAAGATTAAAAACAGGCTTTTACTTGTAGCTGCAAAATATTTAAAACAGTTAACTTCCATTTATATTAGAAAAATATTTAAATAATACGGATTATCTTTTATTGAATAATTATTAAGCTAATAATACTATATTTTCATTTTATATTACAAAAATGCTATTATGAAAAATTTCTGGCCAAACATTCAAGTTAAAAGTTAAAACTTGGTTCGATAATATAAATAAAAATTAATTCCAAAATGTATTATTGGTTACCCTTTCAAGTTTGGTCATAAGGACTGCCAGCTTATTCGTAGGAGACATTTTCTTGCTTTTCGGCAGAGGGTAAGCCTTGTTCCTTGAGAGGTACGCCGGATAGAGCCTAGACTTTGTATTATCCTTCGCGGGGGTTTTTATTGTAGGACTTGAATCCTTCTTACTGCTTTTCTTGGTACCCTTAACAGGACTTTCTTCAGCCTGACCACCGTTTGGTTCTTCTACACAAGGGGAGCTTTTATTAGGCCTCTCCACAAAAGAAGCTTCGATCTCATAATCCAATCCTGGCATCCAAGACCCCTCAGCTGGCCCCATACTAGGATCGCGGGCAACAACTACACACAGATCATTAGGTTCATTGCTAGAAGGTGGGTTGGCTGGTGAAGAAACAACTTGTTCAGTAATGAGGTCTCCATCCATGTGAATGTCTGTTTTCCACTGGTCATTTGATACCGAACGAGTATGTATTATGAAAGAATCATCAATAGTTGCACCATTACCTGTTCTATTAGCCTCAACGTCACCGTTTTCAAAAATCGCATCTTTCGCCCCTTCTCTTTCTAAAGTCCCAGAATTATTAGTATTCACAACGAACCAATCATCACCATTATGCCCTCCTCCATATCTTTCAGTCACAATAGCAGAATCATCACAAGGCAAGTTACGTTTCACATAAATTTTCTCAGAATCAAATCCGTTGGAATCTTTTACCATTGAGTCATCTTCGCCAATTAAGGACGCACCACTTTGCTTCTCCTTCTCTTCCTCGTCTTCCCTACTCATTAGAATGCTCTGGAAGGCATCCCAGTTCTCAACACCGCCATTATGCCCTTCTCTTCCTTTTCTGCTGTGTTTATGAGTCTTTTTATTGTTGTGGCCTTGTTCCAGAAGTGATATTGCATCATCCACCTGTTGCTTTATAGAACTCTCATCAAGTGATGAGGTGGCTTCAACCGACGAAGAGTCATCAGATCTGCCATTCTTAGAGGTGATGTAATTTATATTACGGATTACGACTGTTTTAGAGGATTTCTTCTTGTGCTTTCTACCATGTCGTCTTTGCTTCCTCGGCTCATCCGAATCGGATTCAGAACCAGAACTGCTTGATTTCACGTCTTCGTCATCCGAATCAGAACTTTTTTCACGAGCATCTGATTCAGAAACTTTTTCCTTTTTTCTCCTTGACGACTTGTGGTGATGTTTAGTACCATTTGGAGAATCATCAACAGTTTGAGACCATTGCAGATGGCCTGGATAGTATGGAGGCACATGATGCATACCGACAGGGAAATGCATTGGTTGCATGGGGGTCTGAAAGTTGTACATGTAAGGGGGAATTTGGTTTGGCCATGGCATCTGCATCTGATTTTTTGTTGATATTGGCGTCTGATTTGGTGTTGCCATGTTATTATCTGCGAATAGTTTTTATTAAAACTTAGAAGAGAACACAAAGTAGGGAACTTGAAATCTATAAAAAAAGACTATTTGAGAAGCTTTCCAGGAAGAAAAAAACAAGTTTCATGTGATCAAATGAAGATAACTTTTCAAGAATTTCACTCACTAGATATTTTAAAACAAGTTTAAACCCCATTTATATACTGCTAATATTAAGTTGAATGTGTGAGCCAGGAAATCAGGAGGAACGCCAAACCAATGTTTACAAATTTATAAGTTACTCAAAGAAAATTTGCACCTAAGACATGGAGTTCCCCTCCTAAAAGGCCAAGTGATGGGAAGAGTAGTTCCACATCAAGCTCAAAGTCTTATGTGAGTTTATATCTTTATATGTAGCAGGGGATGTAAGATAAATGTCATCCTAAAAGGTCAATCTAATAGGAGGAGGAGCCCAACAACTTTGAATCTTTATATTTGGCTGGTGTGAGTGGCTTCACAATACTATGGTCAAAGATGACTCTTCATGTTTCCCCAATTTCTAGATGAAAGTGGATGTGAATGATTTATTTGAAAATGTAAGGCATTATCCATGTCTGAGGTAGCATTTGATCTCAGCAATTTTTCAAGAGGGAAGAAAATATGCTATAATCCAGGAGCAACCCGATCCACTGAAGTTGGTCCCTAATGTTGCAATGGTCGGTGTGTGCGTCATGGGCCTTGGGTCTTCTTATCGAGATAAGACCGCCAACAATGCACCAACTGTTGTGGGAACTACAGTGGATCAAAATGGCAAATTGGATAACCAAACATGATATAGCACCTTTATATCAAGAAAGATCCCACTATAATGAGGGTATAGAAATGAATAAACAAGAGAAGGGCATAAATAATAAGAACCTCCAATACTATCAAAGTTCTGTTGGCTTTCCTTTGAATCAGATGAAGTATCCAAGGAGCAACTACGCACAAGTGACCCATTCCCATTCTCACAAGCTAATACAACCCCTGAATTCCCCAAATATGACAGCTCCGGTTGGGAGCATGCCTTCATTGCTATCACCTCATCCATCCATTGGCAATCTGTGTGCTTTTGCTTGTAAAGTTCTATGAAATCAACACATGCCTCCCTATACAAAAAAATGCATTGCTATTTGGATTAGGGTCATTGAGCAGGAGTGCAATAATAAACAAACAAACCATACTAAAAAGAGTGAATCCAGCCAATTAGCTAATCTTGCTCTAGAACTTAATGCCTATCAAAGTCATCTATCTCTCTTAAATCTTCACATGTGTGAATATTAATCATTATAATAACAAGGAGATCATCATCATCATCACCATTACCCCAGTGTCGCGAAGGCTCACACCTACGGTGAGGTAAGGGAGGTCGGATGTACGCAGTCTTACCTCTGTACTAAAACATAGAGAGACTAGAAACTGTTTCCGGATGACCCATAATGAAAATCACGTCGAAAATTGTATGAACTGACTGTTGTTTCATAACAAAGTGCAAACAGTTTAGTGAGCCATTTTGCTTTATTCCATCATATTCCCAAGCCAAAAAACAGTGAGCCTTTGTTCATTGCAAATGATAAAAATTATAATAAGGAGATAAAAGACAAAAATAAAGCTTTAAACCTTAGGCGGGAGGCACCAAAAGCATTAGCAAAGCATATGAGATCATCCATCTGCTCCACTTCAAATCCTGCTACTGTGGCACAAGCATAAGCCATCGCTTGCTCTTTCCTAAGCAATGCTTTACGAGTATCCATAAGACATTGGAGACGATACCTTTCATGATAAAATAACTTCAGGTTGTGTTTGGATCTCAAGATTTTGCAAGGGAAATGAGGAAAATGCGAAGGAATGTTGTTTTTCAAGTTTGGTTTTACCTCAAAAAATGAAATATACTTTTTAAAAGTTTACACGTGTTTACCTTTTTTAGTCTATATAATAGGAAATATATGAAAAAACGAGTTTAAATCAACATAAAAAATATACAACTGATGTTATATTCTTCCCTTTTCATTTTCACCTCTAATTTCTTTCCCTAGCACTTTCAGTGTTCTAAATAAACTCTTACAGATTAGTTACATACTGAAGAATATATGATCATTGAACTTGTGAATTTAAGTAAGGTCACACATACTTGGAGTTTTCCTTAGTTGCGGTTCTATCAGCTGGTGGTGGTGTCCCTGCAAAGGATAAAGAAGCAAAACTACTATGAATACAAAAAGTAACTAATGAAAACATTGAGTTTTTCCTTATCAATTCATTAGGTGTCAGAGAACATGCCTTCCTCTGATATTGACATTGAGAGGCTCTTGGAATCAATGGAACTCTCAATCTGTACAATCTCTTTCTCTAACCGCATAAACCTCTCAAGAATTTCGGGTGTGCTTACAAAACGTACAAATCTTCCACAAATTGAACATAAAAAATTATCAATTAGGCTGACTAGGACCATCTTGCAGAAAAACTATAGTTCATAGGCGTTGGATTTTAAGCCCTTGTTTGGTTGGAGGATTTTATAGGGAAGGGATGGAAAGGAAAGATTTTTACTTTAGTTAACTTTTACTTTTAGATGGCTGGGAAAAAATGAAGATGAAAATTTATATTACTGTTGACATTATTTAACTAAAATATCATTTTTGTAGTGTATGACTGATAGAAAAAGAATAAAAAGATAAAAAGATAAATTAGTAGAACAAAAATTAATCTTCTACCAACCAAACACAACTTAAGTGCCGATAAAATGACTAGAACCGGACTGAAAAGGTTACCATAAACAAGCATCCATCCAAGAAACATAAAGCTCAAGGATTGTGACAAATATAATACCTTTGAAATGTGGATTTAGTGAACCAGGTTGGAGCAGGGGAGGGTGGGCGCATAGTTATTGAATACCCACCCTTTGAAATCTGATCTTTCGCAAATTTCAAGTGAGCAATGAAAGGTTCCACCAACCCAGAAGCCAATTTCTCATTTTTTCCACCAGAAACTACCACAAGATCGCATCTTTTCCAAATTCCCAGCAAACCCGGAAATCCCCATCCAAGAAAAGATATAAAAGTTAAAAATTTGACAGTGCTATTAGTGAACATAGTTTCAGGCACATATAGATCAGGGCAAATAAATACCTTGTCCTAGTAGGAGTGAGCTTCAACAAAGCATAATCAAGAAGGGTATATGGATCCATCTTAGAAGCCTAGGGCTATTGATGGAGGGTGTGAGAAGGCCTAGCGAAAAATTGAAATGGGTGAGCGGAAAATCAGAGGTTGATATTCATGTTTTCTGATATGATACTCAGATTTCCAGAAATCTGTTCGGAGCTGACAGCAAGAAGTGATGAAAAAATTCCAAGCTTGCACATGTGAAAGAGAGAGTGGTGGGTTGTCTGCCTCACTGGTGAGTTGTAATCAACAAGGTATTGGTGTGCCGTATGGGAGGCTACGTAGGGCCCTTTTGCACTTGGTTGTTCAGCCCCATCCCAATTTTTTCTTCAATTTTTCTTTTTTTCTTCAATTTTCTCCTAATGTGTGCAGCATACTTCGTAACTTTTTTATGTTTACGCTCTATACCTGATCAAACGAGACACGAGTTGAAGCTTCATTAAAATTAAGAAAGTTAATCCTTATCCAAGTGTTATTAGACTTGAGCAGATTAAACGAAGAAACCCGGATTAAATAATACTAGAATAAGCAGATTTAATTACGGAGTAATACGAAGCACTAAAATGCATACGTAGTATATTGAAGTACCGACCCAAATAAATAGGACGTACAAAAGTTTAATCTAAATGAATATGGAGAACATCTTTTGGCTATTTGCATTACCGACCTTTTTTTATATAAATGTTAAGGGTCTCTTTAGTAATATTAAAATCGATTGAATCTATAGATTCTCCTACATTTATGAAGTTTTTGTTAAAGTGATTGTATTGACTAATTCTGTTGATTATATGAAAAATAGTTGAAATGATTTTGTACCGTAACTTCAGTCAATACAACAACCAAAAATAAATTGAAATTTATTTTTTCTTACTATTACATAATTTAGCCGCGTTTAATTATAAGGTTGGTTGATAAGTCTGATAACCTGTAAAACTGAGTCATCAAATGGGCTCTAAATTATTCATTTGAACACTACATTGTGTGATGACAATCAAAATAATTGAGATTTGAGGTTGAAGATGATTTATTGAATTAATATATTTTAAATGATAATTCAATTTTTCATATTATTTATTACCTTTTTTATTAATAAAACATATTTGAATATTTTTTCATTATTCACGAGATTGAGTCAATTTAAACACTTCAATCACAATTTCTGTAAAGTTCGTTGAATCACTCAAATTTAGAAGTCGTTTTAGTAAACTCTATTTTCAACTCGTAAATCAACATTTTATCAAACACACACCTTTTGATTTTATACGCTGAATTATGTTATACTACGTAATAAAAACTAAGAAAAGTTAGTGTTATTTTTTTTACTGAATTGGCCGAAGTTGCAGTAAATAATTATTTTAGCTATTTTTCATGCAATTTTTTCTTTATTTTATTAAAAATTTAAATTTAAATTATTTTATTTTAAATTTAATGTTTTTATAATTCATCAGATTCAATCAAATGAGCAATCATGAACTTCATGAGTTCTAAGATATTTAACCCATTAAGTTAGTTTCAGTATACCTAATGAACTCGGTATGTGTAAGTTTTTATTACAAACATAAAAAAGTAAAGGTGAATCCTACACATGGTAAACCATGTTTTACTCAGTTGGTATACCGTGGGAGCAGCTCACGGTGAGCATGCTGCTGTTCCCACATCAAAAAAGGTGTGTTACTGTTCACGCGCATGAACAATAACTTTTTTTTGTTTATTTCATTAATAAAGTAGCAGAATAATGTACCTCACGTGTAAAATCATGTAACTCACGTTGATAAGAAATGTAATTGCAGGCAAGTTGAAATTTAACTTGTCTAATACGCATTATAAGAAATAAAACATTTATTTTAATGAAAACAAGAAGTCTAATTGCTCAATTATTTTACGTAAATAGTTCATATGTTTTGTTTTTAATAATAAGGCCATAAAAATGTTTTTTTATATTTTTTGCCAAAAAAATATTTTTTTTTGCTAAAATTCATTTTTTTTTTTGCAAAAAAGTGATTTTTCATTTCAATAGCAAGAGTTAACTTAAATAGTGAATATATTTTATTTTTAATATTGAGGCCGTAAAAATGTTTTTAAGAAAAACACTTTTTTGCCAAAAAATCATTTTTTTTTGTAAAAACATGTTAGTTTTTGCAAAAGAATGATTCTTTTGTTTCAATAGTAGGCTCTATGTTGTGATGTATTTCGTATTATGGAAAATGTAACTCGCGTTGATGTAAAATCTAATTTAGGTGTATGCAAAATGTAACTTTTTGAGGCAAATGAAAATGTAACACAAGTATAAAAACGATGTAACTCACGCATAAGAAGATGTAACTCCATATACTATCAAATGTAAACAATTAAAACAAAGAGTCTAATTGCTCAATTAATTTATGTAAATAGTCAATATGTTTTTTCTTTTTAGTATTAAGGGCATAAAAATGTTTTGAAGAAAAATATATATTTTTCAAAAAAAAACTTTTTTGCCAAAAAAAAACCTTTTTTTTTTTTGCAAAAAAGAGTTTTTTTTGTTATTTGCAAAAAATTGATTTTTTGTTTCAATAACAGGGGTTTATTTTGTGATATAACTCGCGCATAAGAAGATGTAACTTCATATACTATCAAATGTTTAAATGTAAAAAATCTATCTTAGGTGCATAGGAAGATGTAACTCACGCATAAAAAATGTAAATCGTGAATAAGAAGATGCAACTTCATATACTATCAAATATAACTCTAGAAATTATCTATAAACATAACTCACACATATGAAAAATGTAAGCTCATGGTTATCAAATTTAAATTGAAATAAACAAACTTACATGCTTTAAAAACACTAAAACATATAAAAGAGATCAAAAATATGGATATAATAACTATTTTACAGAAAAGGTGTTTTTCCGAATTAATGCGAACTAAATAAGTATTTACCGAAATAATGTTGAGTTAAAACTTATTACGGATCTACTGTTGGATTTAACCTGGGTTGGGAAAAGTCGCCAAACGGTTTGGCGACTTATAAGTCGCCATCCCGGTTGGCGACTTATAAGTCGTCCAACCGTTTGGCGACTTTCCCCCCTGCACCTGCACAAATAGAAACATCAAAAAACAGATCAAAACACGGTACATACTAATAACATCAACACATCAACCCAACACATGAACCAAGCATCACTTTCCGTTTCCCATCCTATGCATAACCCAACACATCAACACATCATAAACAAATGATCAAGTAACAAATAACATAATATCCAATACTTTGCAGGTGGACATACGTCATAAGGTAAAGTGTTTCACAAATTCAAAAAAATTTACAACATTCGGGGTACATGAATAAGTCCAACAATGGAGACAAACTACAAGTTTCCATGGTCTTCTTGATCATCCTGGTCATGGAGTTGTGGCTGTTGACGCATACGCCTACGCCGCTGACGTGGCTGAAGAACATCTCTATCACGCCAACCCTAGGATGTAGAAGCTGCCGCTGCGGTAGATGTCGATGCCATAGAATCCTGAGAGGAGGTCATATGTATAAGATGTTCATAGTCCACTCGCCCACACACATCCGAACACGAGGAAGCAATGCCCGTCAAAAACTGACCGTACGTGTCCAAGTCATGTGTGTCACTCACTGTGCTAGTCGCTCGCTCATGTATACGCTACAAAGCCTGTGTCTAAATTGTGCAACATGAATTATAGTTTATTTCAAATAAAAAATGTTAAATAAAGAACATGAATTAATGTAGTAATTAGTAGCACACTCACCGTCAAGTGCAAAGCCATGGAGTTAGGATGATAATGATGAGTAGGGAGCCTGAAAGAAGGAGAGACAAACAACTGTGTAATGTTGTAATACCATCTCATGTAGTCTACAAAAACAGATGGGAGTAATGTCGGCGTCCCAGTCACAATAGGAGTTGCCCAATGCACAATAGCTCCCATATTAGAATGTTGGAGCGCTTCCATGAAATGGAGCAATTCAGAATATGACTTCTCCCAACCTCCAAAATTTCAATAATGGCCTTTTATTTGTCCAACCATGTCCGTCTGTACGAAACCCTATAACCATACTTTTCCTCCATCAACTCAATTATAGTATGAACTTTAAGGGATGGATCAGTGCGAAGAAGATCAATTACATCTTGGGCAATAAAATCTGAAGTAATCACCACATGATCATCACTATCATTGTTGCTAACACAAGTAGAAGATTGAGGCCCAGAATAACGCACAACTGTGAACACGTCAAGGCTTGCATGTTTCTTTGTGGCTCGTATTCTTCAAGTGCAATCACGTTCCTTTTTTTCTCTTGCACTCCGCAACCCATTTATGTTTATCAGACTCAAGCACACGAAAAAATTGGTTGCATTTGATAGAATACAAGCTCACCATATTGATGACTTGTTCTTTGTTGTCAAATTGTTGGTCAACCGCAAACCCACCATCTGGTGTAAACCTGTTCACACCAGTTCCACTCCTCCACGCATCATCAAAGCTGAATGGGAGATCATATAATCTAGTAAAGTGGGTAGATGGGGCAGTTGCGCTTACAGTAACACCATCATCTTCATCTGATTATTTCATTTCATTATCATTGATGTTTTCATGAGCATCATCATCTGATGTTCCATGGCCATCCAAAAAGGATGTACCATTGTGCAAATACCTCTCATCCTCCTCTACAACCATGTTCAAAATAGTCTCATTTGGGGAGGCCACTGCAGTGACACCATGCCCGGATACATCAACATTTGATGTTGGCGAAGTTATTGAAGTGTCACCTATGGATTCTGCAATGTATATATCCATTATGGACGTAGTCATCATCTGAACTATCATCCACATTCCCGTGACAGATTCCTCATCATCAAGTGACATAAGCATGTAGGATCCCCCGTGAAGGGGATATTTCACTTGCACTTGCAAAGAATGGCTCGGAGGAATCTGTGTAGCTACATAGATTTTTTGCAGCATCTCTAGCATATGTGCACCACAAGAAACAACTGCAATCTGTCTCCTACCACCATCATAGTGTATTCCCCCTGCTTCCTCAAATAATTTCCCTCCCCAATGACACACTATTGGGAAGTTGGAGAAATCCATATTCTAATAACAATACATGACGATAATTGATGAGTACACATTAATATACATACTTTTTACACCCAAATTCATCATTACATAGACATAACAACATATTAAAAAACTCTCATATTTAAGCAAATCTTGTATCATATA